AACCATTTTATTAAATTAGATTAAATCAATTAAACAGTTAAATTAAATCAAGTAAAGCATTTAATCCTAATTAAAAAAAATAACTAAATGCAATCAAAACACAACCATGAAAACAATTAAACTAAAACAAGGTATAAACATAAAACCCAATAAACTCATAATGAAATTTAAATAAATTTTCAATTAAAACAAATCAATTCATAATTAAATAAATAAAAATATAATTTAAACAATAAAATAAATTTCAAACCTATCCTTTTTAAATTAGGGGTATTACAGTGGTTTTGTAGCCCTAGTTGTGGACGGTGGTGGTGGCTGTGGTTGTGGCAGTGGGTGCAGAGAGATGGTGGCGATGACGGCACCGTGGTTGACGAGAGATGGTGCGAGTCAAAGCTTCCACTTGTTGTTGAAAACATTTTATTGTATCAAGAAATCCGTTGGACAAGCGGATTCACATGCCCTCATCTACCTTGCCAGTGGCCAAAATGGATCATCTCTATTGACAATCCACGGCAGCGAAATTGACGACAACAGCGGTGTCGGTGGTGGTGAGTGGTGATTCGGTTGATTTTGATTGGAAATGTGAAAGCCTTTGTGGTTGTTGGGAGGAAGGACAGAAGGGTCTGTCGTCGCCGGCGACGGACCAAGTGTCTCTGATGGCCACTAATCAATTGGGGTTTGATTGGAAACCTAGGCAGTGGTGAGTGGTGGTGGGTGAAATCGAAGGGGTAGGTTTTTTCTTGGGTTATCTTCAATTGGGTGGTGGGCGGAGGTTAGGGAATTGGGAGTAGCGGCATCGAAGAGGGTGGTGGCGGCTGGTGCTCTATCTTCCCCGCTGCTCTTCCATATACATATACATATACATATCTATATATAATGGCAATAATGTATATAATATATATATATAAGGGCAAATTTGACTTTTCATGAGTTTTGATATTTTACCATAAAATGAATTAAATATTAAAGGGCAATTTAGTCTTTTCTAACATTTTAAGGGCTTGTTTGGATCAAAATTATCATAGGGGGTGTCTTTATCCAAAAAAGAGCTAAGTTGTATATGGTTGTCAATATGTCAAACCTCAGGGAGTGTCGTTGTAATTAACCAAAAATTTTATTTTCAACGCCTATTTATTTGTAGTTCATATTTTACCAGTAACTTAATCATGCAAAGTTCTCTCCAAAAAATTCTATTCTGAGGTAAGTTCTCTCCAAAACAACTTCTATTCTCAGGTAAGTTCACAACGCAAATTATATCAATGATAATTTGGATAAAATTGCTCAAAATAGATCCTGCCTCTAAATAGAATTTTTTATTTTTTATAATTCTAGTCACTCATAATCCTGTATGGAGAGAGAGAGAGAGAGAGAGATATATATATATATATATATATATATATATATATATAGTGAAATATTTTATTTTTCTCCCAAACAATAGTATTGCCTTTTCATCTCTAATTTTTTATTTTTTAAAATTTGTTTATCTTAAACTAATAATTAGTTTTACCTAAGAAAATATTATAAAGCCTTATTCTAAATATAAATAATAGAAATGAATATAAAGAATTATATTTTTGAATTTAATAATCCATCATTTTACTTCATAATGGTAGTTTTGGTGTGCATAATCACTTTCTTTTTACTTTCATGATAAACTAATATTTTTCTATAATTTTCTTGAATAAATTTTCATACTAACTAAATACATGCTAGAAAAAAAAAAAAAATTTTTTTCATTCAGTTCTTATTTCTTTTCTTTTCTTACTTATTTCCATCTAACCAAACGGAGCCTGACTTGTGTTAAAAGGGGAGTCTTATTCGATAGGGAAGTAATTGGGTACATGGGTTAAGTGTTTGCACCATCTACTAATTTAAGTTTTTTAGTCGGATCAATTTGACCCGTGATAATTGGCATTGGAGACCCAATCATTTCAAATACTAATTTAAGTTAATCGATTAATGATAATTGGTGTAACGCCAAACTCCTAACCGGAGGTGCACACCCGGTCTTGTGATAGAGAATCTCATTGTTCTTTTATTTGATATATACATTTATTTTTTCAATTTAATGTTTATCTTATCATTTTAATTATTTTTTGATTATAAACCTTCAAAAATCTCACACATCTATATTTTTTGATTATTTTTTGAATCCTCAATTTATTTACTTTGGCTTTAAAAGGCAAGAAATTAACATTATATTATAGGCTTACCGCCTTTGATTTTGCCTTGTCAAATTGTCAACTTTCTTTTTTTCCCTTTGCTTTGAATTTGTTAGGTAATGCATTCATGAAAAAAACTATGTATAAGAGTTGCATATTTATTAATGTAGTCAAATCACAAATGCACAAATAGATTGTAATTATAAAATAAGAAAGTTGATAAATAAAGACAATAAAATAATCCCGATATTCGTGACCGACCAATTAACTTGATTGTGAAATGATAAAATTGACTTTTTTATTTAATGATATATTAAAATGTCCAAATTATTATTTTAAAATTACAAAGATAATAAAGAACCATTAAATAATGTTAAATTACAAAATTATTATTTAATGTTAAATTACAAAATTGACCTTGCTATTTTAAAATTACAAAAATAATTTTAAAAAATTATTATCAACATTTTAATTTAACATTAAATAACAATGTCAATTTTATCATTTCACAACCAAGTTAACGAATCGGTCACGGATATGAGGGCGACAAGTTGATTGTTACAGTAATTTAAAATGGATAATTATTTCAGAAAAGCTTGAGCTCAAATGGTCCAGGTCCTCCACATTCTTGAACCAAAAGGACAAAAATATTTGTGGATTATATGGTAGTCTTATTTAGTTGCCAAAATTGATTATATGGTAGTCTGATTTAGTTGCTAAACTTTCTGCAAGAGGCTGTTTTTCAAACCAAGCATTCACACTCGCACTTCACACCAGCGTGATCTGGGAAACGTCTTATTTAAACCGTCGGATCCTCGCAATAGCACTAACGAGCTCTCCCATCTAAACCGTCGGATCCAAATGGCTTGAGATTAGGAATAAAACAAATGTTTTTTTATTTTTTCTTGTCTCCCTTCTGTCTCCTCTCTCCTGAAGCTTTTCGTTTCTCTCTCTTGAAACTTTCAGAGTCTTTTCTTTGCCACAAACTTTCTTTCTCTTTCTATCTCTGCACGTTCTCTTTCTCTCTCTTCGTTAAACATCTTCCTACGCCGGCCATTAAAAACCCAGAAATTGGGTAGTTTTTTTTTTATGGCCGATGGAGACCGGTGAAAGGAGATCTTCCACCTCGGCTTCCCAGTTCTCATCTCTCCCCTATATTGTAAAATAGCCCATCAAATGCTTAATTCTTTGTGATTTTGGGTTGCTTTGTTGATAGATTGATAGGCAGGTCTTGCACCGCAGCGGGCGTAGGGGAGGGTGGCGATCTCGGGGTGGGGACGAATCGAATCGATGGACGCCGGCGATTGGAATGCAACTGTGCTCCGGTGATTCTTTGGTGTAGTTGTAATCGTATTGTCCCTAGTTTCCATAAATTGTGGCGAAGCTGGCTGAAATCCCAACTGAGGAAATTCGCCGGAATTGACGTCCGGGCAATTTTTCGGCGACGATTCAATTGTCTGGTTCTGGTTTTTGAGTACCTTTTTGTTGAATTGAATTTTGCCATCCTAATTAATATTTCTTAAAAAAAAAAAAAGGTTTTGCAGGAGATTCTTTAGAGAGAGAGAGAGCTTTCTGTTTTAGGGAGGAGGGTGGTGGTTGTTCATATAGAGGAGAGAGAAAGGCCAAAAATGAAAGAAAAAAAAAAAAGATTTGGGGGGAAAAAAATGATTTGGGGGAGAGACGGAGAGGAAACAGAGGAGAAAAGGGAGGGGGAAAAAGAAGAAGAAAGAATGGTGGCCGGTGGTGACTGTTCATATATAGAGGAGAGAGAGCGGCCAAAAATGAAAAAACCAAAAGACTAATTTGGGAGAGAGAGAGAGAACAAACAAAGGAGAAAAGGGGGCGAAAAAGATAAGGGGGCGGAAAAAAAAAAAAACGGTGTTGTTTGTTCATGAATGTTTAATTTTCCGGCGAAGGTTGTTATTGGTGAGGTGATGAATTTGGTTCGGAAGAGATTGGGTTTTTTGGGTTTGAAGGTTGTTGTTGGTGAGGTGATGAATTTGGGTCTGGAGAGATCGGGTTTTTTGGGTTTGTTTGATATGGGTTTTGTTTTATTCCTAATCTCTAGGATTTGGATAGAAAGAGAGAGAGAACCTTCAGAGATAGAAAGAGAAAGAAAGTTTGTGGAAGAGAAAAGAGTTTGCAAGTTTGAGGAGAGAGAAACAAAAAGCTTGAGGAGAGAGAGGAGGGAGACAAAAATAAATAAAAAAAATATTTGTTTTATTCCTAACCTCAAGCCATTTGGATCGGACGGTTTAGATGGGAGAACTCGTTGGCTCTATTGCGAGCGCGCACTCGCACTCTTACTCTTTGTTCCTTACATTTCACCACCATGCGTGCAAGTCATTCTTTATTTTTATAATGAGATGACTATGACGGTGACACTATTTAACTGAATAAAATTTATTTCGTCCTGTCATGCCTAATAGCACTGAATTTGAATTTGTACCGTAATTAAACTAAATTTTCGTCGATTCCAATTCCAAGGTGCATCCGTGCTGCCCACACACTGCCCACACAACACAAGTTCACTGGGAAGACATGGCAATTCCTTCTAAAGCTTCTATTTTCAGATAAATTACATCAAGAGAAACACATTATTGATGGCTTCTTTCCCAGAATTTTTTTTCAATAAAATCTCATGAATAAACAACATTCAGTACCAATTCATTGGCTATGGTAATTCAGGACTGGAGGGGGCAAAAATGAATCTTTTATAGTACTTGAACAAAGCCTGAGTTGATCCTAATCGTCAAATTCGACGACCAAATTTGGCCATCTTTGGATCTTCTACAGCAGCATGTCAACCTCTGTTAAAAGCTGCATTCACCCAAATGTAATGAAAATAAACAATTTAAAAAAGGAAAAATATACATCTTTACCTGTCATGTGTCCTAAACTACATTGCTTCAAGACTTTAAAAAACCATAACATACGGCATTAATCCAGATAGTTGCAGTCCAGTGGATGCTACAACTCAGTTGATTAGAGACTCCGTCTCTCGTCTTGCAAACCAATAACATTACATGAAAATTTACAAGCACTATAACTCTAAATAGATTATGAACAGCGCATTATATAGTGTGCTCATTGCATTTAGAGACCAATGCTACGGAAACCAATAATAAGCTTCTACTTATATGCAATGCTGGGAGGGGTAAAATAGCTTTGTACAAGGAGGTATGGTTTGAGAATGCAAGGCAGTCATTGCCTCACCTGAAAATATGGGTACGTACGTTATGTATATAAATAAGCCGCCATATACTTCCACATTCCAGAATTGCCAATATAATTAGACTTGCCGTCGTGAAGCTGAAGCTACCCGCATGCATCTCAATCGGTTCAGAGGTTCCCGCTATGTGGATAGCAGTCTTCTCCAATGCCTACGCCAAAATCCTGAGAACAGGAGCAAATGTTAAATAAAACCACAAATCATCTTTCTTAAGACTCAAAATAGTGAAGTACAAGGGGAAGGGGGAAATATAATTGTTTTAACTACTAAAAGAGGGAGGAATGAAATTTTACCTATAAATACGCGAGTGAAACCTAACTGTTCTCTGGGCTAGATGCCGGAGGCAGTGGCAGATTCTGCAGTTCTTTTGCATCCATGCCTTCTACAACCGGTGGATTCTCCTCACACTTGGAATTCAGGGTACCAGGGTTCATCCTCTGGACCTCGTCTTTAGTATAGATAAAGATCTTTCGAACCATACCACAAAATTCCCTTGTTATAAACAAAGAAGAAAATTAATGGAATTCATTATGAATTGTGGTCAGGAAGACTTGCACCCAAAGAAGTTACTGCTGCTATGCATGAGAATGATTTCAAAAAGATGCAAAATCAAAATACATAGCAAAAGTCATCTTTCAGAATAAATAATAAGCATGAACAGTAGTCAAAAAGTTGTCCTTACTGCCATGGATCATCTCCAACAAGCATCATATCACCCTCATCATCAGTGTATACAATCTTCCAATCATTGCTGTGAGCCTTTAATTCACCATGAAATTCAAACAAATTATCCAATTCAGCAATCAATTCATCATAGCTATTGAACTTGGTTAGGTCCACAGACCTACCAAGGGCAATCCCCTGCTTGTGAACCTGGAATAGAACCATTTACCAAGTAAATTAATGTACAGCTTCGAGTCACTATTATATCACTAAGAAACAAAAGAATATACAAACAAATAGGTAAAAACCTTAGTACAGCTCCTGGTTGAACCACCCTGGAATTTGACTTGACGATCTATAACAGGCGGCTGACAATTTTGGGATGGTTTCTCTTGCTCACCACTAGCAAGCAAATTATCAGTCAGTTTTGAGCCCTTCGATTGTTCAGACCTTTGATCAGAGTCGAGGGCACAAGATTGATGCGGCGGCGGCACCAGATGCATATGACCTGCTGGCTCAGTTGCATTCCTATGAGGCAGTCCTAGCTCCGCTGAAGCAGGGTTACTGATGAGGGGTATACCAAAGAGCTTGCAGTTCCCATCTTTAGGTTTCATAGCCTCATGCTGTTGTACCAACATAGATTTTGGCATTACTTCTCTCGATTGTACCGGCATCTGAATGTAAGATGGATGTGGGGGAGGCATTAACCAATTTCCTTGCTGGTGCTCTACCCTATGACCAGGAAGAATGGAATACTCACTAAAACTACCATAGTTAACATCCTCTCGTGTATTATAAGGTATATCACTGCCTCGCACGGGAGTTTCCATGCTAGAGTCTAACAAGTTAAGCGAGAGACCAGGAGGCATTATGGACCAAGGGCTTCCAAGCAAGTTGAACTTGCCTTCCTGGTCTGGTAAATTGAGTTTCATCGAGTTAGCAGCAACCGCATTTTGATCAACCGAGGGAGTAGTGCACTCATGAGAGGAATTAGTTTGTGTCCCAAAACCTGACAATAAATCTGTAAAAGTTGATTCAGGCCTCATAAAGGGCAACCATTTCCTTGATGCATATTTTTGTGAAGCAGAAACCATATCAATCTTCTCATCATCCAGTGAAGGAGGCCACGCAATTGGCTTTTCAGTGGAATCAGACTCGTTACTCTCTACAAAAGTGCCTCTCAAATTCGATGGTTCTCGACCATGCAAGACCCTTGCAAATGCACTCGCTGGCAAAGGGTCTACAGTCACCTTAGAAGAACCTAAAATAAATTACAATTATTCATTTGAAACTTGTTTGACCTCTAAATACATATGAGGCAAAAGAAAGACTAAATTGTCTACAGTGTCCAAAATACAGGCGCAATCCATACCTTCCCTCGTTAGAACAGAGGAATCAGGAGATGAGGACGCCCAATTTGATCGAGGCCTTTTTTGTCTGGGGACAGGGAGGGGATTAAGAGCAGGAGACACAGCAGGTTCTATTTTCCAGGGTGAAACTCTCTCTGGACGAGGAACTGAAGAAGTTTCATCCCATCGTACCTTAAAAAACATAAAAATGTAGCCCTTTTAGCATGATCAGACAGCAACACCAGATTTATTAAAATCCAATTTACCACCTTGAGACATCTCCATTTAGATTCTGGCCACCTATTGGAATCAGCATCCTCAATTCCAACTATGGTTCCAGTATACCTAAAATATTAGATAAGCAGAACAATGAAAAAATGTTACAAATAAGTAGCGTCAAAAATCCTGCATAATGAGAAATATCAATAAGAAGCTAGTTTTCAGGATTCCCAATAAAGGAAAAAGGCTAGCTTCACTGACTAACGACATGCAGCACCATACCTTTGTTCTGGAGCTTCCTCACCTTCAAATCTCATTTTAAACCTCATCCCTATAGAGTAATTGTTCTTGACAGACTCCGTGTACTGATCAAACGGAATTATAAACTCAGCAGGGCTTGTCCTGCAAGAAATATTTTTTAACATAGTAAAAATAGATAAACTCACCATGTAGTTGATATTAGTTAATATTTTTGTTTTAATGTTGTAGTTACAGACTGAGTTGTAGAATTCAGTTTGCCACAAATAAAGGAGGGACGAAACTGTATGCAACAGATCACCTTTCAGCATCATATAGACATCTACGATGCAATCAGATAATGTGAGGCCAACACATGTAAATGCATTACAAAGTTAATCAATAATAGAAAAACTAGACAACCAGAATTCAAAATGAATGACATTAGAAAAATGATTTAAGATTGACATGATATTGTAGTCGACTAAACCATACAAATTTCAGACCTTTTGCGTGTTCGAGAAAAACAAGAACATAATCACTTCAAGAGAGAAGGAAGAAGAGGGAAAAGGTAGAGAAGACCTCCCCAAGAACTATCCAATTCTTAACCAGTTTTCTTCAAAGCCAAATACATTTGCAGTAAACATGTAACATAAACCACACCTTGGCTTGTAATAGACTGTGAATATTGTTCCAGTTGTGAATGCATGCCAAGCTGTTGCAAGGACACCAAGATGCATGCTGTGACTGGATATCACAGATGACGGGACGTTGCCCTGCTGTCTCATGGCACGCCTTACTCCAACACAAAGTTCCCCATTCTCACCCCTAAAAGAAAACACGTGTTACAAACTCAATTCAAAAGTCAGAAAATTAGCATGTGGAAAAACAAAAATGAAGGATGCAAACCTTAGAAATATAAATGCATCCCCAGCAACAAGCCTCTTGGAGCTAACAAAGACACTCCAGCCACTTTGAAGCAGGTGTCTACGCGGTTGACCTGGTATTTTTCAACATCATGACAACCAAACGTTGGAACTGGAATCCAAAAACAAACTAATGTCCAAAACTAAGCAATAAAATTGGTATAGTGCATCACTAAATAACTACCAACTCAAGATACAGGTAGATAATTAGCCATCTTACTAATGATACACAAATTTGTAATCTCATTATTTCAATTAACAACATTCAGAAGGGCAAGCCAAAGGACAAGTCAAAACACATATGAAGTGCCTGAGTGCGCATCAAATGGCATGGATGATTTCAAGTGATGATTTTCAGTAGACAGTTAACCCATACTCTGGAGATTTAGAATCATACACTACACCACAATCTCTTAAGTTCAATATCACTCAACAAAATCCAGGTAATTAACGGTCTATCACGCGATCACCAATCCACCATAAGCCACAAGAAGGGGGTGCACCTCAGCGACTCGAGCCCATTCTTCACAATCTAACATATTAGTATTAGTCTATTACACAGTATCTCTGAAGAATTCACTCAACTGACCACGAATAGAAGCAACACACTCATGGTGCACCAATGGTAAATGCTTTCTGGGTCTATGAATTAACATTTAATTGTCATCTCTATATTTTATGACCCCTACACGATGGTAATAATAACAATAATTGTAGTAAATAGTACCTTCTTAATGAAGTTAAGTAAATTTACATAAGATGCAAGACTGCAGGGAATATTCCATTATTTTAAAAAGCTGATTGAGAATGTATTTAGCAATTACCCCGAAATATATGCTTGAAACGCCACTCATTTCCATGCAAATCCTTGGCTACCAACTCCTGGGTCGGCGGTTGCCGTGACATGTCCTGTCAAATAGCAAGCAGAAAAAACCAATAACCTAATTTAAAACAAAGCAGATAAACAAAAGCTACAACAACGTTATGAGCAATGAATCCCTACCAGTGGAGGGAGGCATTCATCTGCATGCCGTCTCAGCACTGAGAAGCCACCATGTGTGCTTGTATCTGATGCAGTAAGGGTCTTGCAAAAGGAATAAACACGAAATCGTGGTGGGGGAGGTGGCATAGTTTTCTTCACCAATGCATTCTCGTCTTCCTGCCATTAACCACATTGAACTGTTAGCGATTCTGCATCCACTGCTTTATATTTGAGTAAAACATAGCAAGCATTAGAGCAAACTTACTCTTATTGGAAGCAAAGTCATTTGTGCAAATACCTCGTCAGTGTCCGGTTCGGCCTATGCAGATATACAAAATGACAGACCCATCAGCAGGTTAAAACCCAATTGAACAAAACCCTTCATGGGTCAGAAATTTTAATCACAATTCATGGAACTTGAAACCTTAACCCCACTTTAACAGGTTGGGGCAATAGAATTACCTTCAATTGGATGTTGATCACACGACAAAGGATCTTCCATGGAAGATTGTACAATGGCATCGCCTGGTCCACCACCTGATTGGTTGATGCCTCAACCTAATCAAAATCCCAACGCCATGGTTTATATTTAGAATTTATACAAACCCATACACAGAAAAGGTAAAACAAAAATTAAAAAATGCAGTAATAAAGCGAACCCACACATCTCAAAAGCAAAGAAAATTAATTCTTTGCATTAAGGAGCTAAAACAGACAGAGCTCTTAGGTAAATGATACATAAAGATATAGATATACAGTATATGTGTCTAGACACAGCTAACATTTATAAATGAAATCAAAAACAAAAACAAATAGAAATTATGAAGAATTAGAATGGATCTGAGCTCTAACAAAGAGAGAGCTCAGGAAATGCTAGTCCAGAGCTGGAAAGTAACCTGTTCGATGTGTCCCTGAGGAAAATAGAACACACAATCTCCCTCACGAGGCACGGTCACCAGAGGACCAGCACAAGCATGCCAGAGCTCTGTGTAAAGCGCCGTCTCTGGATCGACTGCACACACACCAAAAAAAAAACCAGAATCATCGCTAGATCCTCACCGGAAATCAAACGGAATTTGCCGGAATTACCTTTTCCGGTAGCATCTACCGCCGAATAACTCTTTGTCCCCTCCGGAGCATTCTTAGCGACTGCTCCGCCATCGTTGGTGTCACTGTAACCCGAAGAGAAGCTCTCTCCTCTGAACGAAACCTCTGAAGAAGCCATTTCTATGAAGCTTCAGCACGGATCTCTCATCTGAACCCCCAATTGGATTCTCAACTACTCAACCCCTAAAAAAACCCCTTTCAAACCCAAAATATCAACTCAAATTCCGTTGAATTTCCACAATTGAACAACCTTTATCCACACAGACACACACTCTCTCTCTACACACACACATATATATATAGCTCTCTATATCGATCAGATGAAATTGAGAACCCTAGCCAACCAATTGTGTCTCTCTCTCCATTTAACCCACCACTGTACTACTAGCTCATCAATCTCTCTGATTTCTCTCTCTACTTTCTCTCTCTATATATATCTATATATGCACCTGTAGACTGTAGTAAGAGTTTTATTTTTTATTTTTTTCCTTTCTCTCTCTACAAGTCTCGGCGACAAGAGGCCCCTTCTGTTGTGTTGTTGAGTTACGAAGAGAGAGAAACGGAGGGGAGAGAGAAAATCGAGGGAGGGTCAAAACTGCTGTGACAATGATTTCAACCGTGGTCAAAATTTAACCATTGTTGCGACCGGTAATTGCCGGTAAACACCAACTTTAAGACCTGCAAAAGCCATTTGACGCCGTTTGTCTTAACTTTAGCGGAATGGTTGTCCTGTTTTACGGGGAAGTGGTTTTGTCGTGCTATTAACGGACAGCACTAGATGGATGTGAAGGAGTGGGGGTTATTTTAACCCTACCCTGGTGGCACATTAACCATGGTTAATTACATGAACTCTGTCGTAATATTGTAATATTTTCGAGATCACCATTTATTACACCATTTACCCATTAATGCAATTAGCATGTTCACCCATATTTAGACTTGTCAATGAAGCAGGTTTTGATTCGGATTCGATTTAAATTCGATCCGATTAGTCAGATATGGATTGAAAAAAAAATTCGCTAACTCAGTTACGATCCGAATTCGATAATCCGTTAGCTTAACAAATCGGATATGAATTATGCTAATTCGATCCGATAAAAATTCGATCCGATCCGATCCGATTGAAATTATATATATAAATAATTATATATCAATAATTTTACATATATATATATATATACTCCTATTAGAATTGTATTAGAAGTAACTCAAAAATTCAAAATAATAATAATGTTATATATAAATATTGTGGTGTTCTCGTCCACATGCTAATAAATCTTTTAATATACATACTAATAAAATCATACTCTTAATAATTATATATGTTAGTAAATATTTATTTAATCCAATTTCGAATCCAATCCGATCCGAGTCCGAGCTAAATAGGATATGGATTGGGACATTCAGTCCGAGAACCCGCTAGTGATCCAAATTCGATAATCCGTTTGCTTAACAAATAGGATATGAATTTGATCGATCCGATCCATTGACAGGTCTACCCATATTGGAGGGTTATACGAGAGAGGTTAAGATGGAGGCAAAGAGAAAGGAACGTTGTTAACCCTTCAATTTTTTAACCGCGTTTATTTTTTTGAGGAAAATGGTGGGCGAGAGTATGAAATGGAACAATATTTACACTACGTGAGCGAAATTCTTTGGCCCTTCTTGCAGTGGATATAGGTCGTTTAGTATTTTGAGAAGTTTTTGATTTCTATGTTATAGTTTTTTTTCTCAAACGAACAATATTTACACCGCACGAGCGAAATTCTTTGTCCCTACTTGTAGTGAGTACATGTCGTTTAGTATTTTGAGAAGTTTTTGAATTCTAAATTATACTCAGTAGTTTTTTTTTTCATTTCTTGGTGTAGCAAGGTTATGAGGTCACACATCAGAGAAGTTAACACTTACAAAGATGTCTCTTACTTGTATAGATACAATTAGAAAATTTTGACATATAGAAAGTGCAGAGTGGGCAATATAAATATAATATGAATCGGATCCTGATAAACGGTACGATTTTGAAGAGGAGATGTCTTGTATTAATGTGGACGTATTTTAAAAATTATGACTACAAAGAATTTACAAAAATGAATAGTATTCCCACAGGACCAAGTCTTGACAATGGCATATTCCCACAGGGGGACCAAGGCTTGACAGAGGCAGTGTAGGTTACAAGTTCTGACCGAGGGGGTGAGGATGAGAACGATCAATGATGTGGTTTGACGGATTTTTCCTCCAAAATGCAAAAGGACATTAATGACCCTACCCATATAAGAACGCTGTTCCGGCCATTTAAAAAATTTGAAGGATAAAATATAATGACACTGAGGTTTGGGATAAAGATAGACGTATATAAGATGTCATATTTTTAGACGTTGGCGTTCTTGTGAGATTTGCAATTTAAATAGTCTTAAAATACGTAAAAAGTCTATTTTATTATTTACTATTTTATTAATTTTAAAAGATGATCAAATTATTCTTTTTCCTCTCTCTATATATATACCACCACACACTAGTCACCGTCACCGCAACTTCCACAACCACCACTCACTGAAGAAGGCGCCGATGAAGAGTTCTGCCACTATCACCACCCATCTTCCCCTCCACCATTACCACCACCAATCTAAAACTATCGATGTAGTACGAAGAAGAGAATCGTGAATCAGTGCTCCTCAAAGAATCGCGAATCAGAGATGCTCACAGAAACTGCTACTTGAGCTCACCGGAGAAGACGTTTGACGACTTGAGCTCACCGGATCGAGAAGACGCTTGAAGGCGCGTTAGATGTACGCACAGAATTTTTGCGGCGCATACGATGAAGTTTGAGGCTGAGTTTTGCGGTGCTATGTTCGTAATCAGAAAACGATTGATATGTTGAATATGGTGGACTTCTGTGGTTGTCGCCGTTCTTTTTCCTCCAAAGCAAGTTCTGTGAATTAGTCATCGCCTTCGCCTCCGGTAGTGCTGCGTATAATACTTTCACAGGACTTGTGTACTCCGGCGTTGGGTAAGCTCACCGAATTGGATCTCTCTTTACCGTTGACAGTTTGCTCCAGTCTATTCTTATGAGTTCTTCACTATTGACAAAACTTTATATTGCTGATGATGATGATGATGATGCAGCGGCGGCGGTGGCGGTGGCGGTGGCGGTATATGTAGTGGGGTGATTGGCGGTGGTGATATATATATATATACACGTGTATGTTTATGCGTGTGTGTGTACACACAGAGGGAGGGAGAGAGGGTTTTTATATGTGTTATAACTGCTAGGCTTGTTTGGGTTAGGGTTTGAGAGGGGAAAGAGAAGAATAGAGTGAGGAGAGACAATTTGGGTTTCTCATGTGAGTTGTATCCATCAACTCATTTACACCTATTTGATTAAAGGGTATTTAAATTAACCAAAAATAGTTATATTGTTTAAATTGAAAATTTAAAGCTTCAAAGGATAATGACTCTAATTCACCATTGTCATGGTGTCTTTGTCAACTTTATCAAGCCTGTTATTGTCCAACTATAAAGCAACTTATATATATCTGTCCTTAACCCAAACCTATAAAATGAAATTTGCAATCTGAACATAATTGTTTGCAATGATATGTGTCTATATAATTTGCTATTGCATCCTCCAATGGACCAGCAAACAAATCAAGAGACCAACCAAAAAAAAAAAAAAAAAATTAAGCCTAATTTTTGTTGGGATTTTGTTATCAGGTTCTATTGGGAATTCGAAGTACGGAGTTTTAGCATAATTTTGGATCCATTCAATCCCATGTTCTCAAACCATATTATACTTGAATTTTGTTTTTTTTATTATTATATTTTATAGTTAAAGGATAAGCTATTTGAATTTTTGTTTGAAATTTGGTAAATGAATGATAATACAATCAATGGAAAATTAAAATGAGAATAGATACAGTTAATGAGAGTTATAATGAGGGTACTTTTACTGTAATTTTTTAAGGTAATGGTTGCCAATGCCATTCACTATGGGAATGACAAGGGTGTCTTGAACACGGAGAGTGGAGAGTTGGATACTCTACCAACTAAGTGAAGGTGCTTTTACTGTAACTACTTACCCTGTCTCTTTGAGAATGACAAAGGGTGCCTTGAACACGAGAAGTAGATACCCTACCAAAAAATTAGGCTTGAAAGAAAAAACCCCATTTTTTAAGGATGCAAGAAATTAGGCTTGCATTTTTTAGGAAATGACTATATTTTTAAATCCTCCATCTAAAGGTACATCTTTCTATTTGTTCAAAGCCTCACCAGTTATTATTCCTTGTGATATTTCCAAGCTTAAATGTAAAACTCCGCATTGATGACTTCTGTTCCCCGAGCTTTTTTCCAAAAAACTATAGATGCAATACAAAAGACAGCTGAATCACACCTTCCCTTGCGTCCACATCATAGCACACCAGACACACAAATGGATTATATGAATCATGCAATGAGCCACAACTGTTTTGACGGACATTGACACCTCAAGTTGATCCTACAAGAATCCGACAATCATTTTTAGCATATCAAGCACTTGGGCCCGTTTTAGATCTTCTCCAGCAAAAAGGTACCCTCTGTCAAAAGGTGCATTCACCCAAATGTAGAAGAGAGAAAAATGCAAAGGAAACAGTTCATCTTTACATGTCATGTGCTGAACTACTAGACTTCAAAAAACCACAGAACATATGGAACTAATCCAGATAGCAGCGGCAGTCCAGTGAACGCCACAACTCGGTTGATTAGAGACTTCCGTATTGTCATGCAAACAAGACATGAAACCAAGAAAAACCACATGAAAATTTACAAGCGCTATACCTCCACTAGATTATGAACAATGCGTGTCATATAAGGTGCGTTCATAGCATTTAAAGATCAGTACTATGGAAACCAATAAGCTTCTACTTACATGCAATGCTGATAGGAGTAAAACAGCTTTGTACAGGGTTGGGTTGGTTTGGTTTAAGAATGCAAGGTGGTCATTGCCTCACTGAAAATATGGGTACGTACGTTATGTATATATTTAAGACCATACGGCATTAGCTCCACATGTCCAAAATTGCCAATATTTTTCAGACTTGCCATCCAGAATCTGAAGCGGCCCAGATGCATCTCAATTTCAGTTCCTGCTGTGGATATAAGTCTTCTCCAATGCCCAAAAAACTGTGAACAAGAGCACATGTTATATACCACCATGAATCATCCTTCTAACGGACCAAATTATGGAATCAAGTACAAAGAGAGAATTATAAATGGATATAGTATGTGGAGAAGGGAAATGGGCCGAAAAAGGTTCCTTAAAGAGAACACATCATATTTCTTTTCAGCACAAACATTGCACAAACATGGGTCATTTACGCCAAAAAAGTAAAAAGTTTACTTCAACAAAAAAACCTACCTATATATATGAGAGAGAAAACTAACTATTCTCTGTACTAGATGCTGAAGCCAGGGGCATATTCTTCAGTTCTTTTGTATCCACACCTTCTGCAACCAGTGAATTCTCCTCGAGCTTCGAATTCAGAGAACCAGGGTTCATCCTCTGGACCTCCTCTTTAGTTAAGATAGAGATCTTTCGAACCATACCACAAAATTCCCTATTAGAAACAGAGAAAAAAAACAGAGCGATTCATTAAATGGTGGTCAGGAAGACTTGCAACTAAAAGAGGTTACTGCAGAGGTGCATGTGAAATTTTCAAACACATCAAAAAGAAATTACATAGGGTGAAACCAAGGTCATGTTTCCAAATAAATAATAATAAACAGCAGTCAAAAAGTTGTCCTTACTGCCATGGATCATCTCCAACAAGCATCATATCATCCTCATCATCAGTGTATACAATCTTCCAAATGTTGTTGCGAGCCTTTAGTTCACCATGAAATTCAAACAAATTATCCAATTCCGCAATCAATTCATCATAGCTGTTGAACTTAGTTAGGTCCACAGACCTACCAAGGGCAATCCCCTGCTTGTGAACCTGAAATAGAACCATTTATCCAAGCAAATTAATTAATAGATTCCAGTAGCTATTATATCACCAAGAAACAAGAGTAAATAGGTGAATACCTTAGTACAACTCCTGGTTGGAGCACCCTGGACTTTGACTTGACGGTCTCTACCAAGCGGCTGATTAGTTTGGAATGGTTTCTCCTTTTCAGCACTAGCATGCGAATTATCAGTCTGTTTTGAACTCTTTGATTGTTCAGACCTTTGATCAGATTCAGAGCCACGAGATTGATGTGGTTGTGGCACAAGACGCATATGACCTGCTGGCTCAGTTGTATTCCTGTGCAGCGGTGCTAGCTCCGCTGAACCGGGGTTACTAATGAGGGGTATACCAAAGAGTTTGCAGTTCCCATCTTTAGGTTTCACAGCTTCATGCTGTTGTACCGACACAGTTTTAGGCATTACTTCTCTCGGCTGTGCACGCATCTGAATGTAAGATGAAAGTGGTGGAGGCATTAACCAATTTCCTTGCCGGTGCTCAACCCTATGATCACGAACGGAGTATTCACTAAAACCACCATACCTACCACCCCCCCGTGGGTTATAAGTTATATCACTGCCTCGCACAGGAGCTTCCATGCTAGTCTCTAACAAGTTAAGTGGGAGACCAGGAGGCCTTATGGACCAAGGGCTTCCAAGCAAGTTGAACTTGCCTTCCTGATCTGGTAAATTGAGTTTCATCGAGTTAGGAGCAACAGCATTTTGTTCAACTGGAGTAGTGCACTCATGAGATGAATCAGTTCGCGTCCCAAAACCTGACAATAGATCCGTCAAAGATGATTCAGGCCTTGCCGAGGGCAACCGTTTCTTTGCTGCATATCTTTGTGAAGCAGAAACCACATCACTCTTCTCATCATCCAGTGAAGGAGGCCACTTAAGTGGCTTTTCAGTGGAATCTGACTCGTTACTTTCTGCAAAAGTGCCTCTCAAGGTCGATGATTCTTGACCTTGCAAGACCCTTGAAAATCCACTTGCTGGCAAAGGGTCTACGGTCACCTTCGATGAACCTAAATCAATTTAAAGGAGTTGAAGATAAACGTTTTTTGAACTCTACCTAATACATACAATGTCTAGAGAAAATTAAATTGTTGACGGAGTCCACAATGCGGGTGAAAATCATACCTTCCCTCGTTAGAACAGAGGACTCAGGAGATGAGGGAGCCAAGTTCGGTCGAGGCCTTTTTTGTCTGGGCACGGGAAGGGGAGTGAGAGCAGGAATCTGAGCAGGTTCTATTTTCCAAGGTGAAACTCTCTCTGGACGAGGAACTGTAGAAGTTTCATCCCATCGCACCTTAAAAACATAAAAATGTAGCCTTTTTAGCATGATACAAACAACAAAGACTGATTTATTGAAGACAAAAATACCACCTTGAGACATCTCCATTTAGATTCTGGCCACTTTTTGTGATCAGCATCTTCAGTCCCAACTATGGTTCCAGTAAATCTACAATAATATTAGAAAAAGCAGAAAATAAATAAATGTCATAAACAATTAACGTCAGAAACCCCACATCATGAGAAATATCAATAAGGAGCTACATTTCAGGAAGAATCCCAGAAAAGGAGAAAGGTTAGCTTCACTGACTAACGGATATGCAGGAGCATACCTTTGTTCTGGAGCTTCTTCGCCTTCAAATCTCATTTTAAACCTCATCCCTATCGAATAATTGTTCTTGACAGACTCCATGTACTGATCAAACGGAATAATAAACTCAGCAGGGCTTGTCCTGCAGGAAAATTTTTATAACATGGTGAGGATAAAGTAACAATGAACTCAACAGATAGTTTGATATTAATTAATATTCCTGTTCTAAAGTTGTTGTAACAATCCAAGCAGTGGAATTCTCTAGCAGCCTCTCACAAATCATCACTTCAAGCGAAAGGGAAGCAGAGGGAAAAGGTATAGAAGACCTCACCAAACTTGCATAAAAATAAAAAAATAAAAATAAAAACTTGATTTTTCAGTCCTTGTATTATTTAGTTCATCTTCAATCCAAATGCATTTGCAGTAAATATGTAGCATAAACCACACACCTAGGCTTGTAGTAGACTGTAAATATTGTTCCAGTTGTTAATGCATGCCAAGCTGTTGCAAGGACACCAAGATGCATGCTGTGACTTGATATAACAGATGAAGGAACGTTGCCCTGCTGTCTCATGGCACGTCTTACTCCAACACGAAGTTCCCCATTCTCACCCCTAGAAGAAGTTACATTCAAACTCAAAATCATAAGTCAGTGAATAACAGCAAACGTGAAATCTGAAAAATATGGAGATGGTCACAAACCTTAAAAATATAAATGCATCACCAGCAACAAGTCTCTTGGAGCTAACAAAGACACTCCAGCCACTTTGAAGCAGGTGTCTACGTGGTTGACCTGGCATTTTCCAACATCGTGAAAAAAAAAAAAAATGGAACAATAATTCAGTAATAGAATACTAATGTCCAGAACTAGGAAATAAAGTATAGTGCTATCCCACTAATGAAACAAAAATTTATAATCTCATTATCTTACTTAAAAGCATTCAAAGGGACAAAGAACAGGACCAAGTCAAAGCACTAATGATGGGCCTGAGTGTGAGTCAAATTGCATGGATAATTTGACATAATTGTTTTTCAGTAGACTAACCCAGCTGGACATATAGAATCATACACTACACCAGCATCTCATAAGTTGAGTGTGTCTCAAAGAAATCCAAGTGATTAGTTGTATATCACCTTATAACCATAAACCGCATTAAACAGGTATGCATCTCAATGACTTAGGTGCGGTTTGGTAACTCAATTTATCACTCAATTCTGAACGAATTAATAATTGTTCATCCAATTAAAACTTCATATACTTCACAATTCACAGATTAAGTTTTTTAAAAATTAAAAAAAAAATAAAGATTTTTTCTAGATACCACTTATTTTTTCTAGACACCACCTTTTTCTAGATTTTCCTCGAGTCCATGGTCTGATGCTGCTGATTACAGGGTCAACAATCCATGGAGGAGACTTGTGGTTTGAAGTTAGGAGATAACAAATGGACCGCCATTGAAGGTGGTTCAAATCACTCTAGTTTTTACCACGGCTGTGTGTATCACGAGAGACAGTTCTATTCCGCTGATTCTAAAGGAAGGACTGTGGTGATTGGATCAGACTTGAAGGCTAAGCGCCGATTGCATCGCTTGGGCTACATAATGGTAGTGGCGATAAATGTTTGGCGAAGTCATGTGGTGATCTGTTTTTGATTGACTAGTGTGATGATGGAAATATTAGAACATAACTTGATAATGATGAAGTTGATCCTCTTAAGGAGTTTGCTTGAAAGTTGAACGAGAAGGAAAAGAAATGGGAGTGGATTCAAACTATGGGTGATTGAGTGTTGTTTGCTTGTGATGATGTCTGCTCCTATTCTGTTTCGGCTCAAGATTTCACTAGTCTCAAAGGGGATTGCATTTTTTTTTTTTCAGAATAAGTGCTTGCCCAGTGTAATGAAGAATATAGTGAAGATGATAAATGCCTTGGAGAGTGGTGGCTGACAACTGGTGTTTTTAGCTTGGTGGATGGCAGGTGTGGGCCCATAGCTTGTTTTCAGGTACATTCGCAGATCTTTTGGCCACCCTCACCTTGGCTTAAGCCAACATCATCATGTTCCACGAAACGAAGAGATGAATGTAAGTCATTCTCAATATCTAAATTTAGTAGTAGGAAATATGGTCACGTTGGCATGGAATAAACACTTTGAATTTGGTGGAAGTGCAATTTAATGTTGATTTTGGAAATTTTGAACTATATTTTCTCCAATTCGAATTCCCAGACGTCAATTAGCATTTGAAATAAATCAAATTTAATTTAATGTTGTGTTTGGGAATTACAGTTTCCCTATTCCACGGTTTCAAACATGGCACAAATTATGTGGTGAATTGTCTACCTTTCCTTCTGTAAAATTGAAGCACCATGGTGAATCTGCACATCTATGTTCATTATGTTATATTCACAATAGTGATACTGTATTTTAGCACATAACATGTAAAAAATGATTCACATGTCAAGGATGAACTGTATTTCAGGTCTATAAATTCACCCAGCTTTCAAGGGCCTCTATTCCTTATTTTCTTGACATTCTCCTGCAGCCCTCCTCTGAACCTGAAAGAACTTTTTGGGTCTACAAAGTCATACTTAATTACCCCTACAATGTAGTAATAATAACAATAATTGTAGTAAACAGCACCAATTTTTTAAAGTGGTCAAGTAAATTACATGCATAATATGAAATTTTGAGGGTAACATTCCAGCAATTAATAAAGCTGATTAAGAATGCATATAGCAATTACCCCGAAAGATATGCCTGAAGCGCCACTCATTTCCATGCAAATCCTTTGCTGCCAACTCCTGGGTTGGAGGTTGCCGTGACATGTCCTGTCAAATAGCAAGGAGAAAAAACCATACCCGAATTTCAAACAAAGCAAATAATCAGAAGATGCAAGAAGGTTATGAGAAATGAATCCATACCAGTGGGGGAAGGCATTCATCGGCATGCCGTCTCAGCACCGAGAATCCACCATGTGTGCTTGTATCTGATGCGGTTAGGGTCTTACAAAAGGAATAAACACGAAAACGTGGTGGGGGCTGTGGCATAGATTCCTTCAGCAAAGCATTCTCGTCTTCCTGCCATTAATAAACATTGAACTGTTAGAGATTCAACTCTGCATCCACTGAGTTAAAATTTAGTAAAACATAGAAAACACCAAGGCAAACTTACTCTTAATGGAAGTAATGTCACTTGCGCAAATACCTCATCAGTATCCGGTTCAGCCTATGCAGATATAAAAAATAACACGGCCATCATCAAAGTTAAAACCCAATTATACAAAACCCTTTGCTAATCAAAAAATTTAATCATAGTTGATAAAGAAACTTTAAAATTAACCCCACTTTATCAAAACAAGTTGGGACAATAAAATTACCTTCAGTTGGACGTTAATCACACGGCAGAGGATCTTCGATGGAAGATTATACACTGGCATCGCCTGGTCCACCACCTGATTAGTTGATGCCTCAACCTAATAATTCCAACACCATCGTTTATATTTACAATTTTTTACAAACCAATACGTAGAAAAGGCAAAAAAAAGTAAATGGAAATGAACTATTAAAACTTATCAAAAAAAAAATGAACTATTAAAACCGACCACACGCCCATATTGCAAGGAATTCCATCCTCTTAAATGATACATACACGTATAATAAGAAGATATGTGAGGGTTTGTATACACAGACATTTATACACAAAACCAGAAACAAAAACTAATAGAAATTATGAAGAATTAGGATGGATCTGCAAACAGAGGGCTGAGGAAAATGCTAATCCAGAGTTGGAAAGTAACCTGTTCGATGTGTCCCTGAGGAAAATAGAAGACATACTCTCCCACACGAGGCACGGTCACCAGAGGACCAGCACAAGCATGCCAAAGCTCTGTGTAAAGCGCCGTCTCGGGATTATCTGTCCCCAAAAAAGAAACCAAACACTCGTAATCGAAGTTTTATTATCACCGGAATATCGCCGGAAATTTAAAAAAATCGCCGGAATTACCTTTTTCGGCGGCGGCTCCAGTTGAATAACTCATCGACTCCTCCGGAGCGTTGTTAGCCACTCCTCGGCCATCGTTGTGCTCACTGTAAACCGAAGAGAAGCTCTCTCTTCGGAACGAAACCTCTGAAGAAGCCATTTCTATGATGTTTCAGAACAGATCTCTCATCTGAACCCCTAATTCAATTCTCAACTACACAACACACAAATACCCTAAAACAATCCCTTAAATTCAACTCAAATTGACAAATTTCGCTCAATTTCCATAATTGAACCTTCTATAATCACACTCTTCTTTCTATATATATCGTTCTACCAACCAGAAATTCGGAACCCTAGCGTCAAAGCTCAATCCGCAATCCGCAACAATCATCAATCGTGTCTCTCTCTCGATTTTAACCACTACTATCTTCTCTTTCTCTCTCTATATCTGCAGCCGTATCAATCAAACTTTTTCTCTCTCTACTTTACTCTCAAACTGTACCGTGTGCCACTACCTCTAAATTTTAACGCGGCCCACCGGTAGTCTGGAGACCAAAAACTATAGAGAGAGAGAGTGGGGTGTTAGTGAGAGAAAGTGGAGACGGCGTTGGGATGCCGTTGATAGTTGTCGGATTGCGAGTGGCTTAGCAATTGACGGCGTTTGTCTTAACATTAGCGGAAAGTTGTTCTGTTTTACGGGGAAGTGGTTTTGTCGTGCTATTAACGGACAGCCTTGGATGGATGTGAAGAGGGGGTGGGGTTCAGTGAACGCACCCCTGGCGCACGTTATCCACATTTGCTTTATTTTAATTATATTTCTGACCGTAGCAACTTTCGTGCGCCTGGGTAGTACGATACCCCAACCATTTTCAATATAAATTTCTCAAACCGCATCTCTAACAATAATTCCTCGTACGATTTACTCGGACAATTGAAATATGAGTTTACTTTATTTTCCCAATATGAGTTTCCTTATTAAAACTAGCCATTTAGGAAATTACTAAAAAATAGGTTGGAAATTATATGGAATAAAAATATCTAGTCCGGAATAATTTAATCATAACCTTATTACTTACGTAAATTTAGTTAGATGTGTCTTATATTTTGTGTCAATATTATTCAGTTATATAACATAATTCTCTCATGAATGTTTCAACAAGGGTCGTTTAATTAGTCAAAAATTGGTGATAAAAAGTGTAAGAAAAAAAAGTGAAAGAAAAGAAAATTAAGTTTCTATTATATATTTGGTTTGCATGAAATTTATTTTAAAAAAAAAGAACTGTAAAAAAATATTATTTTATTAATTTGAATGTCATGAGAATGAAAAAAATAATAATTTAGATGCCAAAACTACTATTATAAATTAAATACTAAATAATATACATCATGCAATAAGTACAAGAGTAAAATAAACAAATATATACTTGTACAATTGGGTTTATATATATATATATGTCCAAGTACATATTTGATAATTTGCAAATTTTTTTTAAGGTTGTTTGTTTTGGAAAATTTGTATTATATATTAGGACTCTTTATACATATACATATCACACTTTTTTGTAGGAGTGTCTTAATTTAAAGAGTGAAAAAGTTGTAATCTAATTAGGAGTCTTAATTTATGGAAAAAAAATAAATAAAGATAAATAAATGACAAGGGTATAACAAGAAACTACGATAATACAACTTTCATGCAAAACTTAAATTTTTTACCTTTTTTATGGAGGAAATATTTCAAAGAAAATCCATGACGGAAGGAAACATTTCAATGAAAATCAATTAGTTTTGGGAATATTACTTTCCGCTAACTAAACTGTTAAAAGTTTTTTAAAAATTTCATTTATTTTCCTTGCTACCTAGTTCACCTGACCAATCTAACCCCATTACACAATACCCCCGTGGGATAAAAGTGAGCAAGTTAGTCATTGTAGTTTCAAAAGTGAGCAAGTTAGTCCTTGTAGTTTCACACCTTCGACCATTTTCTATCCCTATGCCATTGTGTATTTACTACACTACCCCTTATAACTAACTTTTTTTTAATAAAAAATAAAAATAAATAAAAGGTAAAATATCATAGATGTCCTCTATAATAAACTGAGATATTACATGACCCTAAATTGATTTAGGTGCTGCAACTCCTCATATGGGCCTCTGCCCGGTTTATGTAAATTCAGGCTTAATGGGTTTCTTATTCCTTTTTTTCAACAAAATTGAAGAACATGTGTCCATAATTTTTTCATCATCTGTATTTGTATTTTTTTTTCTTTTTTTTTTTTGTTACGCTTCCTCATTTTTATTCATGGCCTAGTTCAGTAAAGAGCGAAAAAACAAAAAATCATTCATAGTACAAAACTAACTAGCAACTTATTGAAGTTTAAAGCAAATGAAATCCTTGAAAAGTATTTTAAGGTGAGGAATGAGGAAGGCTTTGAGGTTAAAAAAGGATTTACAATTCCACATTTCAAATCATATGTAATAGGGGATTTCCTACTGCAGTACTAGAGTGAATATGGTTTCCACCAAACATACGTAACGCTTTAGCTAGTACACGAAAATGGATACCATAATTCTTTTGTCTATTAATAATTGCATGCATATTGTGCTCATTTGGTGAAACTTTATGGGTTTTTCTGAACTTTTGCCTTCTCTCAAATAAAAAAATCATATCCATTAACTTTTTTTCTCACTTTTAATGATAAATTTTCTTCCATAAACTTCACTATTGTAAAATTAAATTGGTTAATTTTTTTTTTTTATTTATTTTTTTAGATCTTATCGTTTTAGAAATTTCAAATTTATATTTATACTATTTTTTATAGTAAGTTTCATGATATTCAAACCATAAAAATAGTAATTTCTCATAATTATTTTTAAAAAAGAATAATGTTAATCTAATACAATATGAAAATCCTATTTTTCTTTTTTTCATTTCACTTTCTTTACTTTTACTTTCACTCTCACTTTTCACTATTAATTTTTAAATAACCAAACAAAACCTTAAGAACTCAAAATTACGTTCTCTCTTTGGGGTGGCAAAGTTGGACACTACCCCCAAACACAATTCGAACACGACATAAGATAATCAGGTTTGGGTTGACCTTAATCGGATTGACACGATTAACCTAATTAATTAATCGTGTCGTGTTAGAGTTGAAGGGTTCAACCCGCCTAATCCGTTTAACTATGAATAATTAAGTCATTTCATAATAAATTCTCACAAAAATATACATTAGCTTCTTAATTGTCATTATTAAATGGGTTATGTAATAACTTTATAAACTTGTGCCTTTTAAATTACTATCTAGTGGATTGAGACTTTTGATTAATTTGGTTGGATTGAGACGTGTAACCCGTTTAATAAATAGGTCGGGTTTGTATGGAGGGTTCATGATACGATTATTAAACGGGTCAATTAGTGTTGACGAATTAATATAGTACACTTAAATCAACACGACATGATTATAACTTGCAAACACAAATTGCCACTCCAGCATGGTCCAATGGATTTATCATGTATAATATGACTTTTTTTAAGAAGTTATTAAATTGGAAATATTCAAGCTTTGTTTATTGTCTTTATCATTTATCTAGGACCAAGCTTACCATTGTTGCTTACGTTCCAATCTCGTAATGCATCCACCTTCACCCAAGTATTAAAGGTTCTCTTTCCGCATCAAATTTAAACGAAAAAAAAAAAATAAGTATGTAATATATATGAATGGATATGTAACATTACTTAACTATTATTAATATTATTAATAAATATATTTTTTTGTGTCACAAGGTAAACGTTCAACTTGTACAATTGATAGCTTAACCTTTGTTTTTTTTATCCAAAAGACAAGTGTTTGGTCCATAACAGTAGGTGTCAGAATCATATATAGACTCAATCTTAGATACGGTGTCACATCAAATGTCTCGTCTTTGCGAATCCACTCAAGAGGCGCTCAGATCTAGGCCAAATAAGCAGAGTGGTCCGACAGTAATAAGTACATTGTTATTTGAATCTTAAATTAAATGTGTTTAATAACACAAAATGAATATCATATTAAAATGAAATTCACTATTTGAGTCCCACTTAAAATCAGTACAAAATATTTAATTTTATTAAATAATGCCTTAGTCTTCTTCATAAGATTTTATTAAAAAAAAAAAAGCTACTAAAATGTAAGATTGAACCATTCTTTCATGAACTATGGAGGTAGACAACCATTTTAGAAGAATGCATAATTAGTTCAACGCTCAAACTTGGCGTGAATGAACGAATCAATTGGAATAAACATATGCAATAAAAAAAATCAAGTAGCTAAAAACTACTTGTATATGATATAATTTTCAACTTTAAATATAAAATTTTATCATCATCAATCATCAACTTAATAGATTTATCATATATATATATATATATACCTTCAAAAAAGGAAGCTATGTGTCACGAAATGATTCTTAAGACGCTTGGAGGATGGAAAACACGCATGCTGATTGGCAAAGAGCAGAGTTTGACTGGGAATGGTTCCAGGGAAGGGGCGTGCAGGAGCACAGGATGGTACCTTTGCATAGTTCAGGTAGGTTGATTCGGTTCAGTTTGAGGTGCCTGTTGCTGGTCGTGGACTTGACTATGAAGAAAGGAGTTGGCTATCCCTGCATAAACTGGTCGGGAGTTAGAGCCGTTCTCCTGACGAAGCCACGGCAGGTCGAAATCAGTCAGCATGTTTCTTTGGGAGGGCAGGTCGTGGTGGCTGACCAGGGTGCTTGCGCAAGTTGAAGCAACGCTTTGGTGCCACACGGATCGGCTGCGCTAAATTTCTAGACCCGTGACATATGGGTGTAGATCTAAATTAAAATAAAGTGTTTTTTGGGTGCATCTTTCCAAGTAAAACAGAAAAACAGAAACAAAAAGTTGAAGAAAAAGAAAAGATGGTATTATTATTAGTCAAAATCTCTTTTTTGTAAAAGCTAGTCCTAGTTATATACAGTAGCTTTTTCCTTGTGGAAATGAGAATAACTTTTAATCTTAGTTTCCACTTTCTATGGACTTTTTAGGCATTTTGAACCTGACTTTTGGTAACATATTCCTCATCTATTCAAAGGTCAAATTCCAAAAATTCAAGAAAAACGCCCGGAAGGATCATTAGATTCTTAAGGTATATATATTAGCTTAAAAAATTGAGAGCATAACAGCTTTGTCATTTCAATACACACACGTGTGTATATATATATATATATATATATATATAACTGTTTATAATTAAGGGGCAATACATGAAAATTTTGATAGTGTAATGGCTTGAAGATTTTAAGAGATTCATATCCAGTGTTCCAATTGGAAAAAAGTGGGGGGGAGTGTTAACGTGTCTTACTCATTTAAAATAAAAATAAAAACATAAATAAAAAAAGGAAAAAAATTTATAAACCTACTTTTTAAAAACGAGAATAACTTTTCTTGTACAATTATTGACAGACATTTTGAGTAATATTTAACAATATAGTGCACTGATACCTCTTACACTAAATGAGCTCTCC